CGACGATGGTGGCCCTCAGGAATCCTGCCGCTGTTTCCAGGTCTTCCTTGGTGTTGAATCTAAATGGGGCTTTTCGTAGCTCGGCTTTCAGGTTTTCTCTGTAGCAATCCAAGTTAATCTTTCTTGGGTTGCGTCCCCATTTTATTGTGGATGTAAGCTTTTAATTATTTATTTTAAACTATTGCATAATAGCAAGAGTCACTGCAGTAATTACATATACATGTGCTTTGTACTTACTGTACTTGTAGTTTTGCGCGTTGCGCGTATATTGGTGAATCGTTGGTAGACGGTGTTCCCACTAAAATTATTTTATGGTAGATCCCTTACGTGCTCCGGGAACTGAACACGTTCGAGGGTTTTATGGCAGGTCCCTATGCGTGTCTCGGGTGCCGAGCACGTTCGAAGGTTCTAAGGTATGTCTCGTACGTGCTTCTGAGACAGGACTTTCTAGAAGGTTCGAGAACATTCTAGAAAGCCGAGGTGGAAAGTTCTGGACGGTTCGAGAACGTTCCGAGATGGAATATACTGGAAAGTTCGAGAACGTTCGGGAGATGGAAAATTCTAGAGTGTTCGAGAAAGAAAAAATTTAAATATGACGGCTGGAGGACGTTACACTAGCGATGAATGTCGCACGGCAACAAAAAGTTTGGTCGCGCGATAAGAGTCGCGGTACGGGCGAGCAGCGACTACTCGTACGTGATATACAGGGTGTCCCATTTAACTTGAGACAACTAAATATTTCGAAAAATAAGCATTGTACTAAAAAATGTCCCAAATAAACTTTTAATATTATCAAGCAATTATTTCCTCAATGTCAATGTGCGATGTACAACGTCCGGCAAAGATGTCCGTTGTACGTCGGATGTATCTGTCCTATTTGGGTTATGGTAAATGCCATAAAAAAGTCTGCAATTAAAATTATTACAAATTAGTGTATACTTAAAAAATTATATATATATATAAAATGAACTTACCTAAAACACATTATAAGAATACATACAACAATTAATATTATTGGAATTATTATCATTAAAAAAATTTCTGACAACTTTTGTTTAAAAATATCATTATTATAATAATTATTTTTTGTTTCGTTGTTTATTCTTTTAATTGAATGCATAGTATCTGAAAAAATAAGTAATCAATTATACATATTTATAATTAGAGAAAGTTTGTTAAAGGAGGGAGCCTCGTATGAATCGCTAAAACAAAGATGATTTTTAGGAATTTTTTTTGAAGAAACAATGCAACAGATCTTTTTAAAACTGTTTGGTGTTTTATAACATATATTGTAGGATGTTAAAATGATAATATAAGTTTAATAGATAAAAGACTAAGAATACAAAGATAACGTGCGCTTCGATACTTCTTTTCAATTCGGCGGTTACGTGGCTAAAGCTCAACGGCTAATAATGTGCCGCGCCGCTCTCGGCAAAAGACAAAACGCGTATACAAGTCGCTCAAGGTGGACACGCACAACATATTTACCTTAAACCTAATGAATCGTTACTACATATATTAAAAAATAAAAAAATTTTTTTTGTTTAAAAATAATTGATTATAGAGCCACTATAAACAAATGTTGACCCACCCTCGTCACTGGAGTTGTGAATTGGCGGGAGTTGTAGCGTCTTTTGCACTCGTTTGAAACAAAAAAAAAAGTTTTTTTTTCTATGAAATTATCTAGTCGATGAACCTAAAAAATAAGTAAAAAGTTGAAAATTGAAAAAATGGCAGCACTTTAAAAAAATGACGATTTTGACCCACAAAATGTCACTTTATGCAATAAAAATTGTTTAAATTAATTATTTTACTAATTTTATAGGTTCATCGACAATTTATATTATTAAACTACATGTATACGCAGAGACAACTCGATTGATCGAATAGTTTTTGAGTAATCTTTCCCGCCAATTGCCAAAAACTGGTTTCGAGAAAAACGCGTTTAAAATTTTCGGTATTAAAAAGTTAAAAAAAAAATGTAACAACAAGTTTAAAACTGAGGCTTTGATTTCCTGCTTTTTCGAATTTCACACTTTGCTTGCACTCTGACATAAGTACTTCCGAAAACGCACCAAAAACAGTTACAAATTCTATAATCTTATATCTTATGTTACCGTTGACCAACCGCCTCGCCGCGCGTTTGGACTCCTTAAAACTTCGAATTTTGTTCTGTAAATTTGGAAATATATTTTCTACATGGATTATTATTGATTAAAGCAAAAAAAAATTTTTCAAATTTCTTAACCGGTTACACGAGGCTCCCCTTTCAAGTAAAATATTTATTTACTTTTGATAATATCTCGACGGATGAATATATACTACCGGTTATGAGGTTTTATTCGTACTGATGAACGCACAATGAAGAATATAAGTCGCAGGACTTGCGCTTCCTGTTGCGCACCACTGAGGCGTCGCAAACCAGGTCCGGGAGCTTTGTATGGGTCAAAGGTTTTAACGGCCCACTCAACTCCCTTTGAATACACCACCTCAGCCGCCAGTCACGATTCCCTGGGTTTATTGGTGTCCCTGGGTCCTGACCTGGTATGGGCTGTTAAATGGTCTGTTGTTTTCTGAAACTCCGGAAAGTGGATTTCCATCAAGAGTTTCAGTGTCTCGTTCATGTTTACTGTATATCCCCTTTTTGGATGCTTAAGACATCCCAGTTGGGAGCGGTTCTCTGTAATGAGAATTCTGTTTAGCCTGAAGGCTTCAGGGATACTCTCTATGCTTTCACAGAAATCTCTCCAGCTTTTGCGCTTGGCGATTACTATCGCTCAGCTATATTTTCGCTGGGAGCTTCTAAACAATTCCCAGTGTGTTGCAGAGCCTGTTCTTCTTGCTCTGTAGAATTTCCTTCTCACCTCTGATTTGAGCTTTGATAGCTCTTTGTTCCACCAGGGAACTTTAATCGAGTGATTCTTCGGCTTTGCTGGGCAGTTGTTCTCGTAGGCTTCGACGATGGTGGCCCTCAGGAATCCTGCCGCTGTTTCCAGGTCTTCCTTGGTGTTGAATCTAAATGGGGCTTTTCGTAGCTCGGCTTTCAGGTTTTTTCTGTAGCAATCCAAGTTAATCTTTCTTGGGTTGCGTCCCCATTTCATTGTGGATGTAAGCTTTTAATTATTTATTTTAAACTACTGCATATTAGCAAGAGTCACTGCAGTAATTACATATACATGTGCTTTGTACTTACTGTACTTGTAGTTTTGCGCGTTGCGCGTATATTGGTGAATCGTTGGTAGACGGTGTTCCCACTAAAATTATTTTATGGTAGATCCCTTACGTGCTCCGGGGACTGAACACGTTCGAGGGTTTTATGGCAGGTCCCTATGCGTGTCTCGGTTGCCGAGCACGTTCGAAGGTTCTAAGGTATGTCTCGTACGTGCTTCTGAGACAGGACTTTCTAAAAGGTTTGAGAACATTCTAGAAAGTCGAGGTGGAAAGTTCTGGACGGTTCGAGAACGTTCTGAGATGGAATATACTGGAAAGTTCGAGAACGTTCGGGAGATGGAAAATTCTAGAGAGTTTGAGAAAGAAAAAATTTAAATATGACGGCTGGAGGACGTTACACTAGCGATGAATGTCGCACGGCAACGAAAAGTTTGGTCGCGCGACAAGAGTCGCGGTACGCGCGAGCAGCGACTACTCGTACGTGATATACAGGGTGTCCCATTTAACTTGAGACAACTAAATATTTCGAAAAATAAACATTGTACTAAAAAATGTCCCAAAGAAACTTTATATATTATCAAGCAATTATTTCCTCAATGTCGACGTGCGATGTACGTACAACGTCTGGCAAGGATGTCCGTTGTACATCGGATGTATCTGTCCTATTTGGGTTATGGCAAATGCCATAAAAAAGTCTGCAATTAAAATTATTACAAATTAGTGTATACTTAAAAAATTATATATATGTATAAAATGAACTTACCTAAAACACATTATAAGAATGTATATTAAAATTAATATAAGTGGAATCAAAATGATAAAAAAAATTTCCCATTTTTTTTCAAAACTTATATTGTTATTTCTATTTTTTGTTTCGGTATTTTCTTTAATCATTGGATGCATTGTACCTAAAAAAATAAGTAATCAATTATACATATATGTATAATATATTTATAATACCTAGGGTTCAGCCTTTCTTGTAGTAGGGTGGGGTAAATCCTATCAGGTCCGGGAGCTTTGTACGGGTCAAAGGTTTTAACGGCCTACTCAACTCCCTTTGGATACACCACCTCAGCCGCCAGTCACGATTCCCTGGGTTTATTGGTGTCCCTGGGTCCTGACCTGGTATGGGCTGTTAAATGGTCTGTTGTTTTC